TATATATATATATTGTATGTATATAAATATAAAATATTGGTATTAATATCATTTTCTTTTTATTATTACTATTATGACTATTGTATTTTTACGTCCAAGTGACTATCCGAATACTCCTACTTATTCGATTCATCAAATGTACATTATTATCTGCAGGACGATTGATTGGCGTTTTGGATTTAAAGGCCCCAAATCCGAACTGTTACGAGTGCGCAGAGAAACCCACGGTATGCTATCAGTCGTTGCCTACGTCTGAGTGTGGATATACATTATCGACACATTCATATGCTTATTGTCCTATCACATTCACTTTACCGTCGTGTTGCACACGTTTTTCGCCATCTCTCTGTTAAAATATTATACGCAAATCCCCTCCCTTCCCTAACCCACTCCATTACGCGCAGGCATCAATCGAGATAAACATGACCACCTTCACAATGGCCGATCTCACTGGGCTGCTGAAAGGAGCCCTGAACATGATCCAGCCAGATGTGCAGCAGGGTGCACGTGTGCTTATATCGTCAGATGAGGACGACGGCACCTGTGTCAACGATGACAAAACCTTCAATGACATGGGCCTCCCATCGCCTCTGACTGTTTTAGAGGCTGAAGACTTCCACCAGGACTATAAGGTGCGTTTCTGTTTTTATATTCCAAGGTTTTGTGGTGATGTATGGTGTTTACAAAGTGTGTTTTGAGGTTATGTGGAGATGTGATATGTATATACTTTGTGTAGATTATGTTGAGTTATATTGTCTATATTCATACATGTATTTTTTAGGGTATATAAAGATTTATGGGACTTAAGTATTTGGCTATTTGGAGACATGAAACATTGTAGAGTCGTATGAAGTGTTTACTATATAAATGTTCTGTAGGTGATGCACAATGGTATTGGACACCTACCGAAGCGTGTTTTTATACTACGTAGAGTTGTAAGAATATGCAACTCTGAATCACTTATACACATTTCTGATCTATTCTCGTGAATTTGACCCGTGTAAAGTCCCAGTCAATCTGCACTCCCGAGATTGGACCGCCCATTGTACCATTGCATTCGATAGCCAATTGCGGTTATAGCTGGCACCGCGATGACTAATCGAATCACATTGGTGCGTTATAAGCGCAAGAAACATTCCAGTACCTACAAGTTTATGCATCCTTGTCGACTGCTAACTATACTTGCTATTCTTATCTTGTACATGCTCTCACGCATTCGACAAATAGCTCTATCTGATGATGAGACATGTGGTCTTACCGGCAGACGTGCCTTATAGAATCACGGCGGGGGCAGATTCGGCCCCTGCACCCGAAAAGGAGGTGCAGCCCACTAAGAAACGCACATTTGATGAAATAGACCTTGCAAACGAGCCGGAAGGTAAGTATATGTGTTGTGTGGCGTCTATGTAATATCTATACACATGATTATACATGCATGTACGCGTGTGATATAGAATCCATACTACAGGAGGCATACTCCCACACATAATTTATTTTGACTTTAAGTAAGAATATGTATGTGTGATTTAGCATCCATACTACTAGAGGCATACTCGCATACATATCTTGTACATGTATTAAGAACAAAACGTATGTATGTTCCCGTATAAATGTATACGTGTGTGATTGCATGATATTTCGCCTCACAAAGTCTTTCTTTAATTTGCGGCTGTATCTTTTGTCGTTCCACGCTGCACAGGGGTCAAGAAGATGAAAATAGATGACGATGACGACATCATCGCATTTTAAACCACTACTAAAAGTACAACTAATGCGACAATGTGTGACAATTCTGGATATGGTTGAGGCAAGTGATGCATAGGATAATTATTACAACAGATTAGTACAAAAAAAGAAAAGGTTGTTGCCTTATAGACAACCTTCACAGACACCCCCAAGTGTTTACCGCCTGCTTCCATCAACGTCACGTGTGTTATCATCTGTATCCTTAGACCTGTGTACTTTGTATCTGTTGCAGAGGATGCCGTACGAGAACATGATACTGTCATTTTCACAGTGACTAGGCACTTTAAGACCTGACATAAAATCGCCGTATCACAAGGCGTGTTTATTAGCAGTTTCCAGAGAATTATAAATGCAGACCTTCCACGCAGCTATAAGGATGGTATGGACAGCCTCAGGCGTTGGACTATGTTCAGATTCAGATCAATCCGCTTCACTACAAAGTGATGCACTATTGTCCGATAGTCTTTGTGAGTATAATAGGCAAGTGTTGAATCGCGAGCCGATTAAAATCTGCAGATCTCAGCTATACGACACATACGTTTGTGACGATGCACTGTTTCCAGTTTCCCAAGTTTTATGATACCAGAACCAGAATACAGGATTGTCAAGTGTGACATGAAGGATTTACAATAATCAGCACCGTGGTTGTTCTGGTTGAAATGCGCTGGTCGATTCGTCATAACTGTTTGAATCCTTGAACCCGAATTCTGATTATAAACGCAATAGATGGATCCAGCTACCATCACATTGACGTGTACGCTACAGTTGGATCGTACTGCCATCCCAATACATTCAATAGTACGTCTGGGTCATAGTCTCCATTATTATATCTGGGCTGTCTGTGCGGGATCTGTCACGCAATCGAAAGAACTTTTCCACGTTGACGCTGTCGGACTGAGTTTCTTGCATATTCCCACGTTCCCAGCGGATATGATCGCCAAAAGTGCGAAAAGATCCATCACCGTATACCCTATCTTTGCCATTGACGCATGGTAAAAGAAGAACAACTTCCAGGAATTTGGTAATAACCCACCGTACTCAGTATTGCCCACGTTGAACACCGCAAAGAAGACGATTAAATTACTGGCAACAGCTAACACGATGCCAATTCGGCAATTACTACGCCAATCCGAGAAGGATTCGCTGATTTTACGTGTTCTGTAGGTGTAGTATGCTAATAGGCCCATGGACAACCCCCAGGGTATAAGCACAAACAATGCGTAGTATGAGATATTATTCCACTGGAGTAGATGTGCTAGGAGATATGGTAAGAAGCAAAATACTGATAGTATAAACATACATCCTACTATACCAGTGAAGTAACGGTGGAACCGGACATGCCGCTTGAACGGATGTCGAATGAAGATCACAAATAGAATGCGTTCTCGTGCTACGATTAGCGACAAGGTAGCCGTCACAGTAACATACTCCGCCATTAATAAGTACAGTGCCATATGGTGCTTCCGTTGATCCCACATAGCGGGAATGAAGAATGACAACGCGATGCAGTACTGCAACACAGACACAATAGCACTTGTGAGCCCCACCCCGGCTATAAAGAAGACCCCCCTGCTTTTCACGAGTGGATGATTGCGTTTCTGCAGACACACGACAGTGCACACCGTAACCATCAGAAATGTAACACAGAATGTGACTGTTAACATGATAACGATGGTGTCATTTTCTCCCCAAGGCATTTTGTACAACCATGGCGCTCGGGTCTTTAAAGTTAGGCTACACAGGGTGTACATTGTGCCATAAAATAGAAAGACTGTAAGTACATTCAATACTACGGCACATCGCGCAATAAGCCCAAAGTCTCTCTGTGACATTTGCTTCTTTCGGTACACTTTCCTAATTGTCGAGATCAGGCCCAGGTCTCCTTGTCTGTTTTCACTGAGAACCACATTGCTCGACTCGACTGATGGCGTATCTTCACCTGACGCAGTATCATCCGCGATAGTATCGCTCGCAGTAGAAAGGATGGCAGGTTTGTCCAACTTGGTGCTCTTTGCCATATCAGTACCTCGCTTGGACGTCTTGTAGTCCAGATGACTCACATCCGGTGTATATACCACTTGCGCGATACCACCTTGTACAATATCCGCTCCACCCACATTATTCACACTCTCCATGTCCACACTCTCAACGTCCACACTCTTCTTGACTACACTTTCCATGTCCAGATTCTCCCTGACTACACTTCCCATGTTGTTTCGAATAACTATAATTGGTTTGGCATGTATGTGACGAATCCAGATTCAATGGCCAGATTGCCGAGGTTAGTGATGGGTCTAAATGCCTATAATCGATATTTCAGATATATCTAGCAACCATTACATTACTTTACGTACTATTCGATTTATACACTTTTAACGGATTCGACGGCACAAAATAACCTGCTGTGAATAAATTACATATAAATACATCAGGCGCACGATTCGCGTTCTCTCTCTCTGAGTCAGTGTAGAGAGAGAACAGCCCTTGTTGAGGCCCTCAAGCTCTGGGCCGTACGCCGTAAATAACTAAATAATATTGTCGAATATAAATATTCATCGGAAACGTCGCTTCTCAGACTCAGAGTCATTCTCAGACCTCGGAGTCTCAGACTCCGGATTGCATTTATTTATTTAGGAGTAGGCACTACTCTGCTGAGTCTGCTCTAAATATTCAAATTGTAAATATGTACAAAATGCTTTTTTCCTAAAAAACAAGCACAAAATGTTTGTCACAGTCTGCACTCTGCACTCTGCACTGTCTGCAGTTCTGCACTTCAATCATAGCATTCTAAAAATAAAACACAACAAGCAAAGCTATGCTTCATTCAGTGCTCTGTCTGAGTCAGACTGATGAGGCACTCTGCAGTCTCCGGTGCAGATTTGAGTCTGCAGTCTGCAGTCTGCAGTCCGCGCTTGCATGCAGAATTGCAGACTTTTGAGTCTGTTCTGTACTCTGTAGTCTGTAGCTTCTGTAGTCATCAACTATCACCCATGATGACTCATCAGTATGGCAAAAAAAGTACTGTACCTTTGTATGTATATTTCTACTTTTCTTGAGAAAATAATAATTACATTTAAAAGAAACCTCCAATGAGGAGGCATCACATAAAATTTATAGAACAAAGAAATTATTATTATTTTCTCAACTTTTTCTCAATGAGGGCAAAATTTCTTGAAAATTTGTTCTCGAAATTTGGAATCAGTATCAGAAGTAAATATTTACGTATTCAGAAGCTTTTAATTTTAAGACCGTACTTTCACTTGCAGCACATTTTTCAGTAGTCGTTTCTGATTGGTGAACAATTTGTATCCAGCTGGCTACATCATAGTACATATTTACCGGATACTTGCCAACCTGGGGCTTTTCAAAGAAATGATGAGTCACTTATCTTAGAATTCTTTGAAAAGTACGTAAACGAATTGCACCCAAAATTGTCAGTAGACCCAAATTTTCAAATAAAGCACAATACGAGTCACCATGCACCAAAATTGTATATGTCTTTTCTGAATGAAATCTGATCCCACTGACAGTCTGTCAGTCTCACACCGTAATACGCTATAAAACGCAAATATAGATCTCGATGCGTTCGTTCATATTTTTTAAACGTTTTCTTCTGCTGCAGTAGTCATTTATTATTAGCCTATGAGGTCACCACCCTCCCCGCCAATATTGTGTCCGATTTCCAGCCGGGTATATTTATGTTTAAAAGAAAAATACAGGACAAATACACTAGGCCTCAAGGGGTCTGCGAATTTAAATGTCTTGTCTGTAAAAATATTTGTCCTGATATACAAAAGTGTATTTTCGATTCTGGGTGAAATGTAAATTTCATCGTGTGGTGGACAACTATAGAGGACGAGACCAGGGTGGTCCTTATATCAAAAAGTGGGACATTTTTTAGAACCAGTGGACTGAGGACTGTATTAGGGAATGGGGATGCCCATATGGCTGCGGAGGTACTGCGTGAGAGGAATGTGAGTATGCGACTCATATAAAAAAAGTATATTTAGATTTGTATATAGATATGTCAAACAAATGTACTTCTATTTTTCTTTTTCTTTATGTAGCTATATTTTTAAAAATATATGGCTGCCTGCCCTTATCAGCCTTCTAATTGGTTCAGACTTCAGACTTCAGAGCAGTATGTAGTATTTGAGATTTGTTAAGACTGCAACCACTATGCCTGCCACCTGGTCTTGCGACCACTATGACTGCAACTTTCGCCTGCAATCACTAAATCTGAAGCTTTTGCCTACCACTATTAAGTCTAACGCTCTCGCCTGCCACCCAATCTCAAAATTTAGTTTATATAATTTTTTTCAAATCCTATACAGCATCAGTTGCAGAGTGGCAAGGATGTGTGACTATCTCAGATAATGCCTTTTTTGGGCACAGATTCAATCCTCTCTGTAGTAGTATTTTTTTAACAAATATATACGTATTTATTTACACATATATACATATATAAATATACGTATACATATACATATATATATACATATACATATACTTATACATATACGTATATATATATATATATATATATGTATATATCTTTGTGTGTGTGTGTATGTGTGTGTATATGGACATGTTTATGTTTATGTATATACATGTATATGTATATGTGTATATGTATACGTTCATATATGGATACGTATATATATATATATATATATTTATATAGTAGTATACACCTACTATATATATATATATATATATATATATATGTGTGTGTGTGCAATATGTATATATATATATAATATATATGTGTGTGTGTATGTGTATTTGTATATGAGCATATGGATATGTATATGTATTATATATATGTATATGTATATGTATATGTATATGCATATGTATATGTATATGTATATGTATATGTATATG